TGGTGTCTATTTAAAAAAAAGTTGTTTTTCAAAAAATGAACAAGCAAATTGACAAGTATAAAAGAATTTAAAAGAAAAATTTCCAGAAGGAAAAATTTTCTTTAAGTCAGCAATTTACAAGAAACAATTTATGAATTAAATGTAAAGAAAATTTAAAGAACATCAAAATTACAAAAAAACAAGCAAATTTAAACCTTTTAAAACAAATTTTCAAAAATTTTGCGAGAATGGAAAATTTTTCAAAAAAAGCATTTTACAAAACCATGCAAAAGACAAAAAATTTTAAAAAAGAAATTAAAATTTGAAAAAACAAGCAAATTTTCAAAAAAAGCAAAAATTTCATGCATTTTTACAAAAGCAATCAAAATTTAATTTTAATCAAGCAAATTTTCAATAAACAAGCAATATTATATCTAACCTGTATCAAATTTTAAGATGGGGAAAATCATTTTTAATAATTTTTCTCGAAGAAAACAAAATAATGAAATTTTTAAATTTGTGTAGGTTTAAACAACCAAAAAAACTCGTTTGTTTTTTTAAACTTTTTTCCAAAATATAGTCTTTCTGTAGATAGCTAGTAGGAAAATATTAACTCTTCTAATTTAAAATGTAATTAAAAAGTTTTAAAGAATTTCAAAAATTTTTTTTTAAACACCCCCTTGCAAAAGGGCTCTTTTTTTTTGGTTAGTACCTATTTATAAAAAAAAATAAATAAAAGAGCTGATTTGATATTTGAAATTTTTTTTTTCAAATGTGGAAAAGACAATTAAAGCGAAAATACTTTTATAAATCCTAATCCCTTTACCCCGCTTTGTAGCGTAAATTTTATACATTTTTAAAAATTTGAGAAAAACCAAAATTTTTGTTATGTTGTTTGTGCTGAATAGACTATGTGTTTCTTACCAAAAATTAATGGTAAACATTTATTAGAATTTTTTGAGTTTTTTTTTAAATTTACTTTTTTAAAAGGGCTTCATCCACCCTAGTTATTGATAAATTGGGCCATAACTCGATTTATAGGTAAATTTTTGTTTAAATTTTTTGCATACAATTTTTTTTAAGGACATTTTATTTAATGAATAAATTTTTTTTTTTTTTGGGCCCGTTAGAGTGGTTATACCTTCAACGATTTTTATCAGTTTTCTTGAAGATTGTAGAATTATGTGAATTTTATAACCTTATCTTAGGCATAATTTTTATGATATATATAAAATTACCCTCAAAATGGTGGCCAGGGGAGATAATGAATGATATTTGAAAAGCCAATCTCCTACACAGTGATATCCCGTTATCAGTAAAGAGATCTCTGTCACCACAAACATTTTTATCATATTTTAATATTTTTAGCTTTTACATTTATTTTTCATTATTTTTTATACTTTTGATATTTTTTTATAAACTAATACGAACATATGTACAAAAAGGTCAAAATAAAAAAGAACAAAGAACAAAAGAGAACAATGACGTTAGATTTTCTATGTACACATAACGGTCGATATGTACATTTGAAATTCTACGTTACATCATGTGTATTTCATCGTCATATGACGTATGTGAAGGCAGTAATTACAATCTCAAAAGGGGGGGGGGGGTAATCACTGTGTGGAGTTTAGTAAATAACATTTTTTTTCTTTATTTTTAATACAGAAAACGCTTATGAGAGTGCCTCTCCTGCTACATATGAGGAGTTTGAAGTCACGTGACGAGAGATTATACAGTCAGCTAACTACAAGTCAGCAGCAGATGTCACAACCGCATATGATTATGTTAACTGAAAGAGAGTTAAGGCACATATTTTCGTGCATTATTTTCTGCAGAAGCAAGAGGACGCACTTATAACGCGACTTCGCAGGACATGGGATTTTATATGTTCGAAGCAATTCTTGCATTAAATATACTTTTGATTCGTATGTCTTATATTCTTGTTGTACTAGAATTATGTTTCTATATTACAAATTTCGGTCTTCCTACAAAAAAAAGAAAGAAAGAAAAAATATTTCAAACAAATGTGTATGTCATTTCTCAGTTATGTTTTGAAGTTTTGTTTAACCATTTTTTAAGTAAGGTATTTTCACATTGCACCCTGAGTTACACATATTAAACAAAAAAGACATTATAAAAAATAGCAAAACTGTGCATTTAATCCGTTTAATGTATATTTTCTTAACGTTAATTGATAATTTTTTACGCACTTTTTATGCCATAAGGAGATATATCTGCAATAGGAAAAACGCACAGTTTCATTTTTAAATTAATGTTTTTGTTTATAATTTTATGTACTATTAATGGCGAAAAAAATCAAACAAACAAAATCATACGAAAATTGTCTCAAGTTTCGGAATGTGATACAGTCATATACTGTATTTAAAAACTGATAATTAGTTTCGGAAGCTTTTAATTTATTTCGGAAACTGACCCGAGTGGTTTATAATATAGATTATAATTACAAACAAGCGTTTAGGTTAACATGATAAAACGATTATGCTGCTTAATAATATGTACAAATATTGTATTTGAGATGAAGTTCATTTTTGAATGCTCACATTTTTCTAATGATAAAAAAAAATATATTCAAAGATACAATGTTAACCACCCAAGCTCTCTAAAAGAACTAAAGTCTTATAAAATTGTACAAATAGAAATAAACGTATTAAACTTGCCTTTATTTTTGTAAGCTTTTATTACAAAGTAAATTCAATAGCCTCTCATTTTCCAAAATTAAACTATACATTATAATAAAGATGGTGGTTTTTTTTTGGTGTTTTTGTGTTTTGTTTTTTTTGTTTTGTTTGTATTTTTTAGTTTTTTGCTGTTGTTTTTTTTTTTGTTATATGAAGGGAGTCTGTGTATTTGTTGTATGCCACTTGTGCTATGAACCCTTTATTATGTTTTTGTTTATATTTTATATATTCTTAGTAGTTTTAATCATCTCATGTATGTAATATGCCTTGATTGAATCATTCAACCAAACTAAGCTATCTCTGTGTAATAAAAGCATGTGAATTTTTGATTATTAATCAAATTTTATTTCTTGATCAAAATTGAGAAATAAAATTTTTCTAATAATTTAATTTAAATTTTTAAAACTAGGAAGTTTCAAATAAATTTTGGATTTTCCCATTTTAACAAAATCAAACTGGTAGGGGGTAGGGGAGGGATAGGGAGGAGGCCCGTATAGGTAGGTAGGGAGGGAGTAGGCAGGGAAAGGGGGGTAGGGGAGGTAGGTAGGGAGGAGTGGCCTATAAAAATCGATCAGGGAAAAAATATTTTTTTAAAAATTTTTATTTTTGTGTCCCGTTAATTTAGAATTCCCAAATTTTTATTCGAATTTGTAGTTGAAAGTGATTGTTTTTAAATTTTTCTTTCTTAACATCAAAATTTAAAAATTTATCTGATTTATCATTAAAAAACAATTTTTTTTTTCTACAAAAGAGGGAAAAACCTTTTTTGGGGCTGAAAAAATTTTTCTAAATGAAAACATAAATATATCTAATGAAGTCATTTTTATATACACATGCAGCGCACGTATTGATTATGCAAGGTTTATGTTGTTTATAAATTAAATCTGGAAGGAGTGCACCAACTAGGGGGGCAGGAGCGACTTTTCATTTTAAACCTCAGGGCATAATAATCAAACGAAAGAATTTTTATGTAATTTTTTTGATAAATCTTGGGTAAAATCTTTCTCCGGAATTATCATTAAATAAAACCGGCTGTTGACATAAGTCACAAGGAGAAGGTGTCTTCTATTGTTGTGCCAATGGAAAAAATACGATAAAAAGACTGGTACATCTACAAAGGAGATCAACGCAGGTTAAAATGTTACAAATGCATTCCATGTTTAATGTATTGGAATGCAAATGAAATTAATCTCGAGGATTTTATTTGTATCTTTTTATATATAAATGTACTGATTGTAGACTAAACTTGATTATTTTTCATTATATTTTGTTATCACGGTGAATTAATCCAGATACTTTCCTTTACGTAGTTTCTGGACAGAAAAGCTGCTTAATAACCAGATTGAAACACTAATACAAAAATACTGTTGATGGCCTTAATAATTTCACTACACGGTGCAAAATGCAAAAGTATTAATCAATTACAATTCAGCATTTAAAAAAAGAAAATATTAAACAATGTATCCATTTGAATTAGCATGAATTGTATTCGCTTTTTGGAGGATTTCAAATAAAGTCAATAAAGAAATAAAGTGAAGTTCTCTTTTAGTATATAAGTAGTACACTTCTTGTATTATATTCTCTATAAATACATTAAAATATCTTCTTATACTTAAATGATAAAATCGTGAATATCAAATAATCGACAACTTGAAACACGCCTATACAAATGGATGGATATTGCTCTACAATATTAAGATGAATGGGAAATGTTTACGACATAACACCCTGTTATCTATATTAATTTACTTTGAACGTTTCAAAATCATTATTACACAAAACAACCTTTAAAATATTCGAAAATGTATAACAGTACACAGCCACTTTTCATGCATTAATTCATTGAAAAAAAGTAAATAAAACAATATGATGGTATTAATACACAAATCATAATGAAATAAAGATAATACTTAAAAGAAAAAAAGGCTGTCATACTTGTATTATCACGCGATTATTTCTGATAAATTCAAAAAGATATATTTCCCCGATACATTTCCCCGATTTCAAGTGATTAATAGGTTGTTTATTTGGGGTACAGATATGTAGTTATAAAAACTGAAACAGTAATTGTTTGCCTGTACACTTATCAAGTATGTTAGGATGGGCTGAACGCCAATTTAAATTACAATATTGAATAAAAAGAAAACTGAACCACAATTATATCACTTGAATGCACTTGTTAACATATCCTCTGTCTTGATGAAATCACGAGCATTCTGGGGGGAGGGTTAAGTTTTAATTATGTGGAACAATGAAAACTTTCTTCCTTTTTTATTCCTTATTATTTTCTATAAACTGAACAATATAAATGTGCGCGTTAAAATATTGTATAGTTTTCGACTGACGAGATTTTAATGTACATGCATTTCAATTGCGTTACTTCCTTTTTCTTTCGAGTGCGGATCGTAATATTTCACTGTTAAATTACACATCTACAGTATCACTCTTAAGTGATAACAAAGGAGTGGTCACAGCAATATCAAACAGATCAATAAGGAAAGTGCAAGTGCAGAAATTAAAGGCAAGCCATAGCGGTTTAAATTACACTTATTTTATGCATTAAAGAGGGCTGGTCTACCAAGGACATATTTTCCATAATGAAACAATAGAAATGTTTATCACATAAACCGCGACAAAAGAATGTAATAAATCAATTCAATGAACGCGATAACAAAATTATAATAACACTTGAACTTGGCGCAATGTGCGTTACATGCACACAGGCTAACGTTTCAGGTCGGAAGATATTGAAGAGAAGAAAAGGATACGTTGTATTATCTTTGTTTCTTTTGTATTGTGAAGTTATGGTAAATTTTGTGATAGGAAGTAAATTTAAGACGATTCGAGCAGTTTCAATCATTTAGTGCAAAAATGGCTGATTTGAATTTTGGATTTAAATAGTAACAGGTATTTCCTTAATTGTACCGTTTGTACCGTATTGTTTTGACTTTTTTTTTTAGAAAATTCTTGTTTTCAGTATCATTATAACTATTGTTACTTATTTTTGTAATCTGCTGAAATAATAATCATCTATTGAAGACACCTTGTCAAACTCCAGTACAATATAGTATCATTATAATGAGTACGATGTGCAAATTGTGAACTATGTACTAAAAGTGATTTTTTTTTCGAGATTTTATTCCATAAGCTGCAATTATTTTTAATGTTACTACTTTATTACTATCTAAGCTTATCATTGTTTTACAATGTAAACTAAAGTGAACTATAGTTATGTGGTATCGATTTACTTGGTTTGCTTCGGTCAATTTTCGGCTTTCTTAGACAACTTACCAAAATAAAAAAGATCTGTAAATCTCACATGATTTCTGAACTAAACATGCTAGAGGTGAGAGATAAATAACCAAAGAACATAACGTCCCAAATCATTTGAGCCGCGTCACGACAAAACCACGCGCGGTCTGATCAGGATCCATGCTGTTCGCTATCAGTTTCTTTACTTGTTATAGAGTATGTTAGCGAACAGCATGGATCCTGATCAGACATGCTGGTCGCGAACGCATTATGTTGGTTTTGTCGTGACGCGGCTCATTTGTCAAGGAGACATGTTACTTCGCCCGAGGAGAAAGTAACCTACACATCCGACGCTTTAGTCTTTTTTATTTATGCGAGCTGACAATGTAATAACAAAACTAATGTAAAAAATGAAATATGAACATCACAGAATTGCAATACAAGAAACATTCAGCCGTATTTAATCCACATTTCCTGTTTAATTTCCAATGCTTGAATATCTTGCGATAATATGATAATTTAAAAATGTCTTAATTTTCAAATGCTTATCAGAAAAAAAAGTTGTCTTTTCTATGTTTTTGTTAAAGGAAAACCACGTATTTTATTGTACATAAATTAACAGAATTTTGGGGATTTATGTTCAACTTGGTGCAAATCTCGACCAATAAGTTGTGAAAATACTGCAGGCGTATCAGCGCTTATTTATATGCATAGTGAAATGCACAAATGACGTGATAATTATGTATTAATAATAGTATTACTGTTTTCTTTATAGACAACGAAATGATGTCTTCAACAATGCTTCAAGCGTTTCTAATTTTAGTATGTCAATTTGGTAAGTCACAGTTATAGATATATTCGCGTTACATAAATTAACAAATATCTAAAGCATTTTATACATATATTCATTTTGAAGTTTGTAAAAATTGTTTAATATTTTTTTTAAAACGTATACAGTGCCGTTGCGGGTTTCAAAACAACAGCAACAAAATAGCACCATTTCTATTTTGATTTTTATTGAAACTTACAATAATAAGATCATTAGCCTAGCGTTTTCTATCTGTCGACCGATTGACTTTAATTCTCATCTACTTCAGGGATAGTGAAAAACAAGGAACGAGGTCAAACCACGTGATCATTAAATAGCTTCCAATTATTTGCACAACTATTTCGATCAATACAAACCAAGCATTTCAAATGTTCACTGTAATATTTAAAACTGATTTCACAGGTATTTCAATGCAGACTTGCCCAGAGTGCGTATGCTGCAGAAATGGACGACAAGAGTGTAATTCCGATAAAACGTGTATCGGAGGATGTATAGCCGGCTATTTTGGTGCGAAATGCACAGAAAAGTGTCCGGAAAATTGCAAGACATGTGAAAATGAATACAAATGTACAGACTGTAAGCCTGGGTACTATTCAACAAAATGTAATATACCGTGTGGGAAAGGATGTCTAAATAATACATGCTCGATAACAGGGAAATGTCCGTGTAAATCAACTGATTTTTACACAGGTAAATGTGAATATTGTGCAGAGAATGATAGGTATGGCGATGAATGTAACAATACTTGTCCCATGAACTGTTTATCTTGTTCATCAGGCACATATTGTTCAATCTGTAAAAACGATGCATATTACGGACCATATTGTCAGAACAGATGTTCACACGGCTGCAGCTATGGTAAATGTATTAAAGAAAATGGATATTGTACAAGGTTATGCAAGCTAAGATTTACCGGGGTTAAATGCGATACCTGCTCACCTGGTTTTTATGGACCGTTGTGTGATTTAAATTGCCCGGGGAATTGTTCAGTCTGTACTTCGGAATCTAATTGTACACAGTGTAACAGTGGCTTCTATGGGGAAACATGTAAAGATGATTGTCCATCTGGCTGTAACGGACCATGCTCATTTACTGATGGTCGTTGCTATGCTTGTAAACCAAATTTCTTTGGCTCATTTTGTGACGATCAATGTTCTACTACATGTAAATCAAAGGAAAGCGAACGTCGATGTGATAATATAACAGGACAATGTTTTTTCGGATGCAAAGATGCTTACCATGGAGAAACGTGTGACAAGAAATGCAGCAGAAATTGTGTAAATACAACTTGCAATCAGGTGACAGCAGAATGTCTATATGGCTGTATAAACGGAGAAGTAGGACCTGCATGTTTTCAAGGTAATTTCAAACGAACTTTATTTTAAAAATCGTCGCGTGTTTCTTTTTGCTTATATCTTAAAGATATACCATGCTCATCCTTTAGTTAAATAATTAAACAACAGAAATGTATCGAGCTCTATGAAATTCTTACTAATTATGTCTTATTTGAAAAGAATAAAGCATAAATTAAGCACAAGAAAATGCGTGTCATATTACGGGCCAAGTAAAATTGATCTTTTCTAAACGAATAATTCAGTTTTGTTAATGACACTTTATGTTCATATTGTGATTAAATATGGTATGTTTTTACCGCCTCCGTGGTTGCGGGGTCAAAGTCGATGACTTCTAATCCAGTTACCTCTCTGGCGTGGGTTCAATTCCCGGGAAATGCTTGCTTTGGATGTTGAGCGCGGAGAAAGGTAGTCAAGTACTGGTGTAACTCTCCAGGTACGATGGTTAGGAAATTATCCGCCTATATGACTGAAATACTTTTGGAAAAATCCGTAAAATGAAACAAACTTAAGTAACTACTCTGTGTTAAGTCAAAACACATTCATTTTATATTTACAAGGAGACTGTGTAGCAATTACCAGTATTTTCTAATATCAATTTTGGGCATAGTATTTCTTTTATCATTTTAACAGAAAACGATAAAAGAAATAACTGTGTTAGATTAAATCAATAATAAGCTATACTGTATATGAATTGGTCCAGGAAATTAAAAAGGAAGTATAAGTATATAACACTGATTTAGATATAGCATTGCGATAAATACATGAAATATGTGTTTGATAATTTAAAGAGAATGAACGAAAAATCTACCCACATTCATATGATAATGAGGTATAGATCTATATATTATAAAGGTCCCTCAAAATAACTTAAAAATATAACTTAAACAAATATCTTGATTGATTGATTCGTTTCGAGTGACCCAGTGCAGCAACTCTTACGACTTCTACTACTTGCATAACAATAGTGAATACATTTTCATGGCCTCCATATAAATTATTACTTGAATTTTGAATTATTTTTACTATTTTTTAAAGTTTTCGTACAAGTTTATCATAATTGATTTTCTAAAATGTCTTGACTTATCTGGAGTATTTTAGTAGTACAGATTTTACACTTATTCGTATGATACTTTTAGCAAAACCAACAAAGGATGATGTCGAAGACAGACATTCTGTAAGTACACTGTTAGGTGCCACATTCGCAGCAGGCCTGGTCGGTGTTATTTGTGGAGTAACAATCACGCTTGTGTTGACTTTATGGCGGCGGAGGTATATTCATTCCCGTTTACTTATTAATACTATTGAATCTAAATCGACGGACCAAAAATGAAATCATTAAACATCGAGTTAAACTGATGTTAGTGTAATTTATTTAGATGATGATGATTTTAATTTCTACATGAATAGTAACAGAGAATCTTTCTAAAAAATATTAATATTTTGTGATATCCTACATTTCGATATATATATATGCTATATGGGCTTTTAAAGTTTAAGAATACTTGAATACAAGAATTAGATTTAAAGTGACACTATGTACATCCTAGTGTAATTAGTGAGTAAACAGGTCAAAATGAAAATAACTTGCCATAGTTTTGTTCAATTTTATATTTTCCAATAAAAGAAAAACCAATAATTCATGTGACTAACGGAAACTTCCATAGATATAGTTCCTAATGTATAGGTAACGCTCTTTTCTTTAAATAGAGTTGGGCAGTCCGTTTTTATAATTTCTATAGTTTCTTTTTGGTATCATAAACAATTTTCATTATTAATTATTGGTCATTTAGGAAAGTAATAGCCAATCTGTAGAAATATACCACTAATTCACCTCAATTTGACAGCGAACAAATGAGCCTAATGTCACTTAAAAAGAAAATAACACTTTTCTTTGCCATAATAAAAACAATCATATTACATTATATGTATTTTTCTTTCAAACCTTTCAGAAATGGCCGACAAATGAAAGGCGAAAGTGAAGACACACACGTGCATACTAATGGAAGGTTAAACGATGGTATTAAAATTCATGAATTATATATGTTGCATTGTAAATAATCTAGTTTTATTTGATCTTGCCGATGCTATATTTGAAGACATATATCTGCATTTTCACTAGAATTAAGCAAATTTATAAGAATCAAGCACATGTACAAGAAATTTTACAAGAATCAAGCAAATTTACTAAAATTAAGAACATTTACAAGAAATTTTACAAGAATCAGGCAAATTTACTAAAATTAAGCACATTTACAAGAAATTTTACAAGAATCAATTAAATATACGAGAGTCAAGCATATTTACTAGATTCTTACCTGCATCAAATTTCAAGAGGACGAAAAAGTCGCTTCTGAATCAGTTATCCTGAAGAAAATAATTATGTTGAAATTATTTCAAAAGGAACTGTATAGGATTAAAAAAGCAAAATACATTGCTATGTTCTTCAAACTTTTGCCATAGTAAATCATTTTATTCATGTAAATATGTTATGTATGAGAATATAAAAATCTGAATTCAAATTAAACTGTATACTTAGATTATTCAACGATTTTTCATAATATTTACCTCCTTTGTCAAAAGTGGCAGCCATTTTTATAATATAATACACAAAAAATGGAAAGAAGTCACAGCTGATTAAGTTGAATTGTCAATATTTTATGCAGATGAAGGAAAGTACTATTAAAGCACCAATTACATAAAGTTTTTTATCAGTTTTCTTGAAGATTGTAGAATTATGTTATCTTAAGTATAGGATATATTGGAAATGACCCTCAAAATGGCTGCAAGGGGAGGTAATAAATGACATGTAAAATGCATCAATACTCTTTATATTATACAGACAACGCTAACGGGATTGGCTCCCCTGCTACATATGAGGAGTTGAAGTCACGTGACGAGAGATTATACAGTCAGATAACTACAAGTCCGCAGCAGATGTCACAACCCGCATATGATTATGTTAACTAAAGCTCCTAATTGAAAGAGAGTTAATGTACATACTTTCGTGCATTAATTTCCGCAGAAACAAGAGGATACACTTAAAGCACGACTCCGTAGAGCATCGGATTTAATATGTTCGATGCAATGTGCTATTCTTGCATAAAAAATATGTCAGATTTAAAAAGTCTTCGTCAAAAATTTCGCTTTTTCTAAACAAAAGAAAATATTTCAAACAAATGGCGATGCCATTTCTAAATTATGTTTTGACTTTTTGTTTAACCATTATTGAAGTAAGCTATTTTCACATGCCACCCTGAGTTACGCATATTAAAAAAGAAAGATATATGTGCATTTAATCGTTTAATGTTTTTTTTAACCTTTAATTTCTTATATTTTTGCGCACTTTTTATGCCATATGGAGATATATCTGCAAAAAAGACACAATAACATTTCAATAGTTTTATTATGTACTATCAAATGCGAAAAAACAAAACAAAAAAGAACAAATAAACAAACAAGCAAAATCAGTGGCAAACTGTCTCATAATTTTCGGAATGTGATACAGTCATATATTTGAAGACTTATAATTAGTTTCGGAAGCTTTTGATTAATTTCGGAAACTGACCTGAGTGGTTGATATAGATACTAATTACCAACAAGTGTTTAGGTGAACATGATGAAACGATTATGCTACTTATGTACAAAAATTGTCTTGGAGATGAAGTTCATTATCTTTTTGAATGCACACATTTTTCTAATTATTAGAAGAAATATATTCAAAGATACAATGTTAACAACCCAAAATCTTATAAGTTAAAGGAACTAAAGTCTTATAAATTGTACAAATAAAATAAACTTATTTAACTTGCTTTATTTTGTAAGCTTTTATTACAAAGTATTTGATAACTCATTCTCCATTCTCATTCTTTTTTTTTATTTTTGTTTAATATAGGGAGTCTGTATATATGTCTTACATAGTTCGATAAGTGTTTGTATCCACTAGTGCTATGAACCGTTTATTTTTTGTTTTGTTTATATTTTATATATTCTTAGTAGTTTTAATCATTACATGCATGTAATATGCCATGATTGAATTATTAAATCAGCCATTTCTGTGTGATATAAAACATGTGAATGCATTAAAAATTGCTTTATTATTAATTCGATTTTATATTTCTATGCATCAAGAATTAAAAGAAATAATGTTTGTTATAGTATATTATTAAGTTTATCAAAGTTAATTTTGTAGGTGGGTAGGTAAGTAGGTAGGTAGGTAGGGTCGGTCGGTCGATCGGTCTACCTACGTAGGTAGGTAGGTAGGTGAATTATTATCATGTACAAACAACATGATGTATATAGATATTAAGACGTAATTTTCATTGACTAACTCTTACATGATTAAAGATCCATTATGCCTCAAAAAATGATATAACTTTATTGCTCAAAAGCTTTTTATCCTTTTGGCCTGTCATAACTTGCAAAAATTACTCATTGGGCAATTATCATTAACATCTTTTGGTTCTGTTGCTTTTTAGTTATCAGTATAGTTTTTTTTTTATCTATTTAGTATTTTGTATGTTAGATACTTCTTACCTTAAGAAGATATCGATGAATGTGAAATAATTTGTAAAAGAAGCAGCAAAATGTATACAAAGTAGTATTTTTACTTCCATGCAAAATACTCTTTCGCAAAAACTGTATAAAATTTATTGCCAAAAAGCAACTGATGAAAAATGAATGGTATTATAAGATAACACTAACATCTGAAAGCTTTTGAGAAATAGTAGCAAAAAACGTTACTAAAGCACATTGGGCCTTATAAAACAACTTATTCAAAATAATACTACCGAAGTGCAAGGAGCGCGCTGTTATTGTATATTAGGTCGGATCTGTCATTACAGTCCACACTATAATACTTATTATTATTGTTGCTATTATTCACCAAATTCCTAAAAACTTAAATGTAAGAATGAGACAGCTTTTCCAATAAGACAAATGACAATGCACCTGCTATTTTGGTTTCAAATCTATGATTACACGTTTCACAATTTTCAGGACATTCTTCTCTGTCATAATAATCGGATTAGCATCATTTCATTCATGAAATTGTTATTTTAATCAAACGTATGTTCTATTTTTTATTTTTGCTTTTTGAACCTCTTGGACATGCCTTCGTTGATAGAATATATAAATGTTAAAATGTCAATAAAAAGTGTTGTTTCTAAATTATACATTGTATTATGTAAATGTTGATGAATGCAAAATACTCGTAGTTTCATCTAATAACAAAATATGCGTTTATATAACAAAATAATGCTAATGCGTTTTAGTAATTGCGACCGCACTTAATCATAAAAAGATTGTATGATGACCTCAAAACGACCTCAAAAACCCAAAACAAACAAATGGCTATTGTATGCATGCAAATAATCTAAATCAAAATTAATATTGTATATAAGCTTACTGTAGTTTTGATTCTCACTGACCAACGACCAAGCATTGATTATGCAAACATTTTTTAAAGCTTTATATTTTGTAGTCCTGTTACAGTGTCCAAAATCTATGCAAACTTAACAACTTACTTTTACATGCAACATTAATCAAGATATTCACTTTGAACTTATCTTTAGGATCATATTAGAAGTCACCCTCCAAAGCCCATCAGACATTACTTTTGACTATAGCCCTTTGTTGGGACAATTTTGTGATCGAATTGGTCAGTTTGTACGTACAACGGCCTGTTTACCTTGTTTATACGATAACATGAGTAGAAATAAGTAGGGACATTGCCCATGGACAGTAGATAGCCTTTAAGGTAAAATCCTCGTCTAGAAGGGATAAGCCATTGTTTATATAACCCAGAAAGATCATTGCACCTAATAACTAGACGATATCTAATACTTTTGAGGTCATTGGGTTAAAAATCAGGGTCACAGTGACTCTAAATGTATAATTATTGACCAGTCAATAATTTGTATAAATTGCACTTTTACAGGCTGGATAATTAGGGGCATCCTTGTACTATAGCACATGTCTAGTTAATAAGGGAAATTAATATAAATGATGTAATCTGATTGGTTATTTATATCGTGGCCACGACTTAGTAACTCGTGGCCACGACATAGTAGTTCGTGGCCACGACATAGTATATCGTGGCACGACCTAGCTATTTTGTGGCCACGACTTAGTATCTCGTGGCCACGACATAGTATCTCGTGTCCACGACTTAGCTATTTCGTGGCCACGACTTAGTAACTCGTGGCCACGACATAGTATCTCGTGGCCACGAGATAGATAAAAACACACACATGTCACCTTTGTGCCACCGTAGGTTACTTACTGTCTGAGGTTAAATATTTTTCAAGGAAGTAATAACTATTGATTAGACTATATTCAACGACAAATAAATTTTACTGCGGGGATGCGAATTTGAAAAGAAATAAGTAACATTGACAGTTAAGAGGCCATATTTAGCCTGTCACATGTCCAAAATTGTCTTGGCGATGAGCGGCGGCGACGAAAAAGTGATTACTTTCTCAAATGAAAAACAGTGTTAGGTGCCTAAAATAGGGCATTTTCTCACTGTTTGAGTCCTCAAAGGGGGGAGGGCGGCAAAAAGCCGTCAGAACAGTAAAAGAACATGTATCAGAATTCGCATTAACATTATAAATTTATGTTACAAACCTCCTATAACATGTAAGCAATCAAAACAGCCCTTCCAGCAACACAACAACTGGCCAGAAGTGCTCCTAATGTAGATATTAGTATACTTGTAGAATGTCCTTGTTGATCCTTTATCACCGTTTCAAAACAACCTGATGGACATATATTTGTACATGTTTTTTTTCAGTAAAAAAACCTTAATTGCATGTTGTGCAGTTTGTGTTAGAAAGGCATGTTTCAAACTAGCAATTTAAGTCACAAAAATGCCCATGTAAACCATGAAAGCAAGTGTCACATTTGTCCCCGGTATAACCAGATTTGCATCTTCTGATACAATATCCATTTGCCTTATTGCATCTTTCATCAAGGCATCCAATAGAACATCTGAACTGACAATATGATCCGAAATAAATAGTATCACTATAACAATACCATGCTGTAGCTAATGTACACGAGCCAGAGTTACTTTGACAGATATTGTTACATTCATCACCATACTTATAACCTGTACAATAGTTACATAATTTGAGTAAAACCAGTCGATTTACAGGAACATTCTTCTGTTTATGGCGAGCATTTATTGCACACGTTTTTCCTCATAGAAATTTACATTTGATATTAAAATAGCCATATTGGCATTCTATACATTCATCAAGATTCTTGTATACAATCATATAAATTATGCATTTGTCCACATAAAATCCGACTTCACATCCAAAAAAATAGTTTTGATTTGAATTACAAAGTACATATCTACAGTACACCCTGGGCGGCTTACATCGATATTCCTACGAAATATTATTCTATATAACGGATGTATTAATTAAAAAAACAATTATTTGCTTTTATTTTAATTTCTTTATATACATAACATTTTACGAAAGATATATACCTGATTGTATTCAACAGATTTTATAGAATTTGATTTTGATATTTGAAATGTTCAGGTACATATTGAAATATATCAATATTGTACAAGTTGCATTGCTACTTTATTTCATTGTGTTCTTCCCAATACAAAACTAAAATTTCATTAATTGATCTTATCATTTTTTTATTAAGTTAAATGTTTAGCCTTTAAAAACAAGCAAAACAGTTACAAGAGGTTGGTTATATTGCAAACAGCCGTTTTAGACAATTCGTCCAAAGTCTTTGTAATCAATATTTAAACAGCAAAATGTTGTATTGTGAAGAACACTGAAAATAACTTTAATATATTTATTGTTGCTGTGTATATAATCATATAAAATTATGATACACATATATATACACAATCCAATATTTTAAGAATTTACTTTAACCGCTTTTATACAATGCATCACTGATTCCAAGATTGTATTTGTTATAGAAGTGTGTTGAATTCTAATAATCGGCCGTATAAATATCCTAAATCTTTTTTTAAAATTGTGTACATGTTTAATCAATATATATAGTATTAATTAGTAAAAGAAGGCAATGAAATTTACTTGACTGTTCAAACATTTTAACTATTTATTTCCTGTTGTCTATAATTCAAAATTTGTAGTATAAGAAAATACCAATAACTGTAAAACAAATATCCGGATAAAGTATTTTATTCACTAAAATGTTATAAACTTCAAAGCTTGTTACAGTTAAGAAAAAAAATATTCTTTTGCAGTTATGCATAGAACTTGACCTTTACTTGTAACAGTGAACAGCTACAATATATGTGTCAAATGTAGAATCCTGTTTACTACGGCGACCAAGATTAAAATACTGCCGTGTGTTCCATACGATTTTAAATATTCTTTGTC